GGTATTTGGCCCTTGGGGTTGTCCTGGCCATGACGACGGCATCAGCACAGGAGTGGTGTGTGCAATTGGGATGTTATAGTGTATCTCTCCGACATTATTCACGGGGCTTAGGATTGATAATTAGAGGGACCCCGAAGAAAGGCCCCCACATACTCTGATCCTTCTTAAGGTACCCCTAATGTTGGCAACCCCCCCCAAAAAATCAGGGTTCCTTCTTCCCATGGCCCCATAGGCTAGATTACAAGGATAAAGGGGCCTGAACAACTTGAACCACAAGCTTGCGCCAACCCTAAAACAAACATCAAAGAACTCCACATGAGCTGTAGCCTTAACTCCGTAAGGGGTGTATATGGGGCGAAATATAGGGGACTAGTATAGGGGTTATTAAGAGGGATACTAGGATCGTAGACTATGGCTCACGTAGGCCCATGTAACGGACACAGACGATCATTCTGGGTAGAGTCTAAGGGTGTGCTGAACTTCTGCAAAACCCTAAACTCTTTAGAGTTTTGGGGCTTAGGGATTAGGGTTTAGGGCTGAGAGTTTAGGGTTTAGGGCCACGTGAAGAGCAAAGATTCGCTTTTGGGGAGAGTTCCCAGGCAGACCAACTTTCATGAAGGGGGGGATTTAGGGTTTAGGGTTTTAGGTTTGGGGGTTTAGGGTTTAACCTATAGTCCGTAGTATATAGGCTAATTTCCAAAATCAGGGACCCATTTTGGTAACCCTAAATATTTGGTGCCATAATGTAGCCTATAACCCAAAGGGGGCCATGATTGCGAAAACAGCCCATGGGTACCCCCCAAAAGTTGTTAAAAGGGATACCTGACTTACGCAAAACCCCCATTCCTTAGGTGGACCCGCCACCCAGTAATAGTGACTATTATGGATAATAAGGATCATATTAGGGTCCTCTCATATTCCTATTATACCACTATTACAGGGTGGGGGTCCTCCTAACCCATTCCAGTGAACCCTAAACCCCTAAACCCCTAAACCCTAAACCCTAAACCCTAAACCCCTAAACCCCTAAACCCCTAAGCCCTAAACCCTAAACCCCTAAACCCCTAAGCCCTAAGCCCTACAGTGGTCACAGGATGCTGAATCAGTTCGCCAGCTCCGTGGTGGTCAGTCCGTCTCCGACGTCGATGACTTCAACGAGACCGACGACAACGAAACCTTGGACGAGACGGACGCAGATGGGGGTTTCCCAAAATTAGGGGTACCAATTTAGGGGTCCCCAGAATAAGGATTATAGTATTTTGGGGTCTATATTGGGGTCCCATTATTTAGGGAAACTACCAAATGTTTTCCTTCAGATTATACGAGGTTTAGGGCTTCGGACTTGAAACCTTATATGGGTTCCCACAAAATGTACATCCCCCTTTTTGAGGGAGTCACTTACAAGGGTTGTTGTGGATTGAAGCTTGTATTGGGGCCCTGCATTTATGGCAAACCAAAAGCGATGCGCGAGATCCCGCCATCATCGTGTAATCCGCCAAGATGTCTGAAAAGTCCCTGCAAAGGCCCTTCGGGTTTAGGGTTTAGGGCCCTGGGCCCTGCCCGTATAATCCCTTTGTCCATCCAATGAATAAAGAACCCCCCCCGCCTCACCAAGATAAACAAAAAACACCGACAGGATTGACTAGTCTCGGGATTTCTACGGCCCTATGTAGCTAGAATTCTTGGATTTTTTTGTTAAGTGTCCCTTTATACAGAAAGAGAAAACCTGGTCAAGTAATCGTTTCCCCGGATTAATGATGTTGAATGGCGTTCTCACCAGAAATTGAGTAACTTGCTGCCGAAAAATTACTTCATGTTCGAGGCGGGAAATGTCTTGAAAGAATTGGATTGTGCTGCCTTTGAAACCCTTTTCAAGTCCTTGCAAATCCTGCATGAAATCCATGAGAAATCTGACTGGAATCCATAAAGTCCGTCAAAGCACATCCGCAGTTCAACTCGATTGTTTTTTGTTTTATGCAAATTCCTTTCCAAAGACTCTCTTAAACCTAACAGAAATCTACGCTAAAACGAAATTCATAGAGTTCATTCGATTTTGTTTAGATTCCGCTATACAATCTCCTTCATAAAAGCCTTCTAGAAACAATCGGAATCTAAGGAATGATGGAGATGCGTAGTTCTAGTTGGATTTCCGTGACTTCCGTTGGATTCCATTGTGTGCATCCGCACGCCGCGTTCTGCGCANNCCCCCCCCCCCCATGGTATGGTCACCATCTGAAACAAGCCAGATTCGGGTTTAGGGTTTAGGGACCCGCGAACCATGAACTCTCCGTACAACTTCTCTTGACTCTCTTGAAGAAAACCCTCTATAACCCCCACCACAGGGCCCAGACAACGCGCAGGGTATGTCTATAAGACCCTAATGTACAGTATGCGTTTGAGGCTGTAGAGTTTCCGTACAACTTTCATAAACCTTCTGATAAGCGAAGGGGGCTATAGGGATATAAGGGGTGTTTTCCGCAATTAGCGGTACGGGTCGCAATACTACAGACCATAATGTTTTGGTGTCTATACATTGGGGTCCCCCTATTTAGGGAAACCGCCATATAGGGTCGAGGGTTCATGGGACTTAGTATCTACTTATAACTCGGCTTGTAACACTTAATTCCCCTAGCTGACTTTCACAAGTTATCCCAATTATTATGATAAGTGATAAGCCCAGCTATAGGTAGCTACTAAGGACCACGCACCATGAACCTTCATGTACTACAGTATCTATATTCCCTGCAGCACTCCCCCGTATGCACCAATATCCCCTGACCCAAAATTGCTTTTGTCAGCCCAGCCCCGCAGGAGACAACGTCTCCATCACCGCCCTTAGTGGAGATTTGGGTTCCGGACGGCATCTACGGTGGACAGGAGGAGGCTGGGTTTAGGGTTGGGGGGTCATGATTAGCACTGTTAGAATTACGCCATATCACGGTTATAGTGATGCTACACCCAAAAAGACAGTGTCAGAGTCGACCTCTTCCTGTCCTAACCTCCGAGACCCTGTCATATACCAGTAATACCATGACTACATTGGTTAGGAAACAGGGATGTCGCCTCCTACACACAATTTGCGGTTTGGGGTCTATATATTACAGGGACGTGAGGTGGTATCATGAGCTGTGGAGAATAAGATGCAAGAGAACATGGAAATCAAAAGGCAGGGGGGGTTAGATATTCGGAATTCGTATATGGGGTTTTAATATTTGGACTGGTGCTCAAGTGAAGTGGGGATGAAAATAGGGACTGTGGATTATATACGGGGCACTATTGGGATCCCTTTCCGATTACGGAGTACTGGAGAGTAAGACCTGGAAGATGGAAAGGTGCAAGAAAACATTCAAGCCCTGCACTTGAAGGTGTGTGGGTACGTAGAACTGGGGTCCAACTTAGCGAAACAGGGTTTATTACCTAGTCTCGCGGACAAAAAGGCCGACTTATGACCGCCCATGAGCCCTTGAGAACACCAAAAGCCCTGAACCCTAAACCCTAAGCCCAAGCCTTGCAATGCGCAGGAGGCCGAGGAGGATCCTGCGTTGGAAGCAGCCAGGAAGGAGGAGGCGGTCGGAGGTTTAGAGTTCAGGTTTTGGACTTGTATGGCTCTAGGGTTTTAGGTTTTCGGGTGTAGGATTTAGTGTGTAGCATCGGTCAGCTGGTCGCATTAGTGCGCAGACGTGCCCAATGCTGCCCAAACACTACGCACAGCAAACCCGCCCAAAGCCAGTCGAACCCAAGCCAAACAAGCCGAATCCTCTTACCTTTCCGGATGTGGTCACTTCTCATACGAAGGCCTGAGAAGGAACAGCTTCAGGCCAACCCTCATTATTAATAGTAGAGCAGGGTGCACTGTTTGGGGTCTTTGCGGGATGCATCAAATCAACACCAGAGTTTGGAGTCATGGACATTGTGGTCTGAAGGAAGGGCCCTTTCCCACCGGGACCAGGACTAACTGCTTCGAGCCTATAATTGTCCAGGCAACAACCACTAGGGGGAGCCGTATGCAGCAAAACACATCAGCCAAAGGCTAGCACCCTGGCTGTTGCTCTGGTTGCTTTGTCTCGTCAGTTGCGTGCCATCGAATTTCTGGCTTGTATCTAGTCTGGGACTGGGCAGACGAGCTCGGATTTGATTTGCGAAACACATCATCAGGCGAAGGCTACGAAGGGCCTTGTCATAGTTTCTTCCCGCTCCGGGTCGCGGGCGCGCTGCCCGCCAGAAGTTCTACGACGCCTTGGCTGCGATATCTCGATAAATGTGTCACATCGAAGTGTTGGCTCGGCGTTTGTCTAGGAGCAGTTACAAAAGCTCAGCCGTAGCATCACGCAAAGGCTGCGCACGTTTCCGCATTTGCCTCCAAACGAAAATTGCTGTTTGCGTTGGCGGACGTTCTGGGCCCAAGGCCCTCTCGTAGTTTCGACCCTCTGTGTCGCGCGCGCTGCCCGCCGCCAGTTCCAAAGGTTTCTGGCCAAGAGCTTCTTCCCGACCATAGAGCTGCGAAGGCGCTGGTTCTGGCCGGCCCTGGGATGCCATGCTAGCAATGAGCCCTGGAACATCCTGGAACTGGAACTAGGGGAACGCAACCTTGCAGAGATGGAGCTGGGCGACTTCAGCCTGGCGAGGCCGCAGAGCGGTCAGTCAGCAGGCTTTGCAGCGCCTGGTAAGATTTTGCTGGCACTCGCGCGCGCCCACCTAGCTACAGAAAGAAAGGGGTGGTGGGCAGGTGTAGAGTCTTGGTTTTTTGAACCCATTGCCTCATTTAGTGGACTTGAGGGATTGGGGTTTGGGCTATATTAGCTCGTACGTTTCCAAACCTGAAACTTTAAAGTTCGTTCCGCCCCATACACTAACAGCCCACTAAGTGCGTAGCCGCAGGTACATCAGGTCTAGCTGTCGTGTTTTTTTATCCTGAAATCCTAGTCATCTCTCCTCTTTCTGTGGTAAGCCCCAAAGCCCCATATTCCCTAATTTTAAGCCCTAAAACTTGGAAGCCAGAGGAGGCCAGGAAGCAGACTGAGCGTGAGGACTCAGAGGGCGGAACATGCTGCTTACCTGTCCAGTGGGTAGTGCGGCTGAGGCTTTTGCGTTTAGGGCATCGGGTTTTAAACAGAGCCATGGAATGGTTACCGGTACAGTGGTCCCAGGCGTATTGGATATCACAAGCCGACCTCAGAGCGAGGTCCTTGTATTACATTTCAACAGCCTTCAGGGTTCAAGGCATAGGCTGTAGAGGTGGGTTTAACCCCGTTGGTTTACATAGAAATCCCACAAACAAAAAAGTGCTGGGAACCAAGGCTGCTTCAGCGGCGAAAGCAGCCAAGACACATGCGGCACTTGTTTTCCGATGTCCATCGCTTCTTACAAAAGCAAATGCTCTCGGAAGATACATTGCCGGGCCCTGAGTTTCAGCCTGCCGCCGGGAGGTGGGACCGGGGTTGCTGTTGAGATGCTTAGATTAAGTGACCATGATACGGGCTTGTGGAAGACAATGTTAAGGTTTCTTTTCAATGGGAACTTACTTAGTAGTTTCCATAAATAGGGGGACCCCAATATAGACCCCTGAATACTATAATCCTTATTATGGGGACCCCCAAAAAGGGTACCCCTAATTGTGGGAAGCCCCCACTTGAAGTTCTTCAACAGCAGCGCAGTTACTGCATCTTTTTTTTTTATGACAACCATGGTTTAGGGACCTTGGTGTCATGATCAGGTCATGCTTTAGCAAATCATAGATCCAGCACAAGAATCGCTGAACAGTTCATACCGACCTTCCGCCAAATGGTGCTTTGTATGGAAAATTTGGCTTGTTTTCAGGGTTTGAAGATGTCAGAAGACAGACCCGCTATCATCTTCAAATCAATTTCATTTGCATCATCATTATCATCATTATCATCATCATCATCACAAGTATCAACATCACCACCAGTAGAGACGTCACAGGCAGGTTCAATGATTTTGTCGATTTTGAACCCAAATGGTTTTCGTATAGTTCTTGATGGCTATGACCCCCTAGCGCTAAGCACGTGTCAGAAATTGGGCCCTCCCAATAAGAGCTTAGGCCCATGTCCCAAGTTATTCATCCGATTTTCCGTTGTAATACTTCTATGTAAGCCATAATTGCCGCAATACTCTGTCCCTCGAGAAAGATAGAATCCAGACGAGAACCCGTGTAACAAGTCCTGAGAATTTTGCCGCTTCTCAAAGTGTTCGGAAGCCGTACATGATTTGAAACCGTAGCCCAGCAGGCACCCTTTGCTGGTTAAATCCTTCGGAGCGCATGAGAAAAGTGATGAGTCGGGTCACATGTCCGGCAAACTAGGTCATGAGCGTCAGAGGCCATAAGCCCTAAACCTCAGAGGACCCGTCCTCCTTCAGCTCCTCCTCTCAGCTCAGAAGTTCATTGCAACCTGTATTGGGCCCCCCCCATTTACCCTAAACATCCCTAAGCCTTCAACTCCCAAACCCCTAGACCCCTAAACCCCTATCAGCTCATGAGTTCACTGCGCCGCAAAAGGTCTTGGCGAATGTAGGGGAACCTGGTGCGACACAAAGTGCGCAGCTCGTCGAGCATGATCCGGTTAAGGCTTTAGGGCTTGCACTTTTCAGATAGATCCCCAAGAGACCTTCAGACACGACAGGGCCTCTAACTGACCTCGATAGACTCTAGCTTCGCTTTTTTAGTACCTTCTAAGTGTCCTTCTTGGCGAGTCTGTCCTCTGTCCTATCTGGGGCTCCTCCAGGAATGTGCGCGGTTGATTGGGTGAGGATTTCTGCAGAATCCCTTTTACAGCCCTATGTAGGCCCTACTTATGAAAATATAGTAACAATATGGAAGCGTGGTGTGAGGTTTGCCTATGATTTGAGGCTTCTCTGAGCATTTAGGGTTTAGAGTTTAGGGTCAGGAGGCCCTTGGGGACCATTGGGATAGATGGAAATTACAAGAGGGTTGTGGAGGTTGTTAGTAAGGAATTCTACACGGCTAATTTTGAGAAACCCTACGCCCTAAAGCCTAAGCCCTAAACCGTGTAATTCAAGTCGGAGAAGAGTTCAGGTTTTGGGTGCGGCAAGCGATGAGAACAAGTGTGGCACCGCCTATCCAAATGGAATTGCCGAGAGCAGGGGCCTCAGACTCGAGTATGAACAGGTTTTAGGGTTTAGGAGTTTAGGGTTTAGGGTTTAGGGTTTAGGGTTTAGGATTTAGGGTTAGGGTTTAAGGTTTAGGGTCTAGGGTTTAGTAATTTAGGGGCTGCACAGGGATGATAGAATCATGGTATAGGTGCCAGGCGGTGATTATTTTGGATGATAAAAGGCTTCTCCTAGAAGATCATCTGCGGAGAGGATTTGATGAGTGTGTGTAGCGTTCCTAAGGAATCTGCGCGTTTGCTGCTCAATTTGGGGGACCCTAAACCCGAGATCCTAAATCCGTAGCCCCTAAAACCTAAAACTTAAACTCCTAAATCTGAAGTTTACATCCTGCCATATATCATGTCACGTCTCCCGAATTCTATCCGTCTTGACAGGGTGCTTAAGGGCACCCCTACTTTGAGAGGCTCTGGTAGTTATAGCCAACCATGGCTGTAGTTTTAACCCGACTATGGTCACCTTAAGGGACCTGTCATGGAGTCTCAGGCAGGTATTCAGTAGGATATGTACTATAGTCTAAACTCCTTAAAAGGGGACGAGATAGGGGACTATATAGGGGACTACTGAAGGGGTTATTAAGGGAGGTACTAGGAGTTTAGACTATAGCTCATATAATTTCCCTGAATCTCAAAACATGCACTGGTCACCATTGGGGCTGCACTCTCCTTTGAAACTTGGGGGGGCGGGGGCATTGGCAGGGTTAGTAGGGTAATGGTCCATGGTCCTACTTGGAAAGAACTATCCTATGTCCCATGAACCTGCGCTTCCTTCGATTGGGGGAATAGGGTGCTTACTGAAGATCATGCCCAAATTCCCCTGATCATAGCATAGTCCCTCTATAGAAGCACTGCAAAACTTGTCATGGGCTGACTGGATGCCCCAGGAGAAAAAGGATCCGCCACTAGCAAGGCATATGTAGGACTGAAGGTCAAGGGTTTTGGATGAAGAAGCATCATTCAGGAATGTTGCGGATTCTCCAGTCCTGCCGTTTCATGATTGAAGAGGTCCCTGCGAATGCCTCCTTTTCTGGGGCAGAGAAAGTGTATAGGATCCTATACCACCGGCACCTCAACACTTGTTGGGGGGGTTAAGGTGGTTTAGGGCTTAGGGTCCCTAAACTTGGTACCCTAAACCCTAAACCCTACACCCTAAACCTTAAACACAAAAACCGTAAAGCACGATGAAAACCTGACTGGAGGTGGCACCGCCTGCTCATCGTCCAGCCAAGGCTGCAAATCTTGCAACGGCGTGCCCTGGTAGAAGTTGGCGCTGCTGCTGTTAGGTATATAGGGTTTAGGGTTTAGGGTTGAGGTTTAGGGTTTAGGGCTTAGGGTTTAGGGTTGAGGGTTGAGGATTTAGGGTTTAGGGTTTAGGGTTGAGGTTCAGGATTCAGGGTTTAGGCTTGAGGTTCAGGATTTAGGGTTTAGGGTTGAGGTACAAAGGTTGATAGTACTGGCAAAAGAAAAGAGCCTAATGCTACTGCTACTGCTGCCATCGCCACTGCCGCCACCACCGCTGCTACTACCACTGCTTCTTCTACTGGGACTGCTCCTGGTACTGCCTGCACCCAGTAATACCAGCATAAGCAGCAACAGCGGCAGCGAATCTTGCTAACACCCCAGTGATAATCTGCCGTTCCTGGCAGTTCGTTGTGGCTTTGCCAGCGCTCTGTACTATGCCTACGTAGACGCATGAAGAAGTGTCGGGAACCGCAGCGCACGCCTTAACCGTACTCGTGGTAAGCACGGAATAAAGAACGATCCCGCCGGCAGTCCCCAATTGCTTCCCAATAACAATCCTTTCGTTCCGTTCCCTTCCCTCATTCCGTTCCGGATACCTCGAGACCCTAAACAACATAAATGACACTGTCGATGTTCGTTTCCATTCAGTCCTACTTGTAGCAACCAGCAAGACACCCTAAACCCGTGCAATGCAATACCAGGATGTAAGCAACCCATACATCAAAATTTGGTGACCTTAAGCCCGTATAAACCCATGTAATGGCATAGTAACCCTGACCCCATAAAATATTACAGCAAACCAACAGCGAGATGGCATTTTAGGCTTGACTTAGTGGGGTTAGTAGAGAGCAAGGCATTTGAATCCCGATTCAATCCCTCCATATCATATTCCCTTATCCCCTACTAACCCTAAACCCTGAGAACTAAACACTCAGCCCTATGTGTATATATACATATATATATATGTATATATATAGAAATACATACAAATGTATCTAAATATCTATCTATATATATATATTATAGAAACAAAAAATGTATTCCCTTGGTCCCTACTAACCCCCTGGTGAGTTGAGGAGTGGTGCCGGGCGGGTTACGCCTCGAACTTCCACCTACAGGAGGCTGGGGTTGCCTTAAGCGAACGGTTTCGGGTTTAGATTTTAGGGTTTAGGGCTTAGGTTTTTGGGTTTAGGGTCTAGGGTTTAGGGTTTAGAGGGCAGCGCAGCTTGCAGGGGTGTCGGCGCAGGGTTAATGGTTGGGGTCCACGGTTTAGGGTTTCAGATGTTAGGTTTTAGGGTTTGGGGTCCATGGTTCAGGGTTGCAGGTTTTAGGGTTTGGGGTTTGGGGCCCATGGTCTAGGGTTTCAAGTTTATGAACACGGGGGTTTCCAGAAATGAGAAGTCCGCATGACGAGGATTCATTATAGTATTCCTGGGGCTATACGGGGGCCCGCTCATCGATGGAAATCCCCCACAGGCCTTTTACAGCTGCAGTCATAAGCATTGCGGCCATAGGCCTTCGAGGATGATCATTGATGTCCATTTGAGAGCTTATTCCCCACATGATCCTCGAGAAGAACTTTAGTTCAACAAGGGCCCCATTTCTGAGAAGCTCTCGTTTTCCAGTGATAGCAATCGCGGTGTTAAGTCAAGGCACCCACCACATTATTCATGAGAGAGGATTGCTCACAAAAAAACCTAAACCATCATGCGGCCAGGACGATTACGGGCGTGAGAAACCCGTCTACGTGGCGCCAGAAGAGACTGATGGCATCTGCTGCTATCGTGGCGCGATCGGAACGGATGACATGCGCCTTTGCAAATTCAACCTCTTATTCGTCTTCTTGCAAAGTTCCACAGAAACCTTTGATCTTTAGACTTTATAGTCCCTTGTAAATTGCTTGTACCCCCCTCTGTAGCTCGCTGTAGACTGCTTTGGTAGTGCAATTTGGCTCATGCATCCTGTGCAAAACAGATGACTGCCTCTTAGTTGCTGAGCAGGCTTGGTCTGTATGCAATCCTACTACGTGGGAAAGAACCCCTAAACCCTAAACCATAGCCTTCCTAGTCTGAGCCCCGGAAATCGGCAGCTAGGACTACCACCTGCCCCCAATTGAAAAAAGGAACCCTAAGCCCCCTGTTTGCTATGACAACAAAGACCCGTTTAGTGGGTTGCATGCTATTTTAGGGGATTGGTGTTATAGAGATTTACAGTGGCCCTTGGAAGTCCTACACAGAGTCCCTGTCAGGATGGATTGTTGTTTGTTGTTGGTTTAGGGCTTAGGGTTTTGGTGAGGTGTGCTCTTTTGTGATCTCTTCAAGGAGCCAAATCTAGATATGGCGAGAAGGGTCATCAGAATCCCGATCGCTACTTGCGGCAACCCTTATCGTCATGTTTGTGTCTGAGGCCGGAACTATGGCCCTAGTGCGTGGGGTCCTCATGTACCTTGCAAAGGCCTGCAGGTAGGATCCAGGAAACAGGTATGTCCATGTTAGCGGCCCATGGTGAGGACCTTAGACTGCGACTGACTAACCCCAGACCCTAAACATGCCAAACCCTAAACCCTAAACCTAAAGCCACCCCAAAAAACAGAGCTGAAACCCTACACCCTAAACACCCCGAACTCTAAACGCTAAACCTTAAACCCTACACCTTAAACCCCCTAAACCTTAAACTCCCAACCCCTAAACCCTTTATATAACCCTCAAACCCCCCTAAAGGGCCTACCCAGTGGACTATACTTGGAGGTCCTACTTAGTAACTGTAGTTATAACCCAA